TTATTTGGATAGTTACCATAACTCGTTTTTAATGCCTAAATTCGATTTTTCTAATTGGTATGTGATATCCTTATCAAAATTAATGGATTTGGTTAAGTATGGATAATATAAGATTATTTTGATTCAAAGATTTACATAGAATTTGAAAAGTTTCAAATTCCCCTTTATGGTTTTATAGTTTGAATTTGAAATTAAAAGTTTTAATTCTTTTTGGTAATTTAAATAGTTAAGCCCTAGTAATTTAAATAGTTTAAAAATACACCCTCATGGTTTTGTAATTTAAAATTTGATTAAATAGATTTATTTTTGAAATCTTAAATTTAGAACCTTGGTATTTTTTAAAAGTTTAAATTACACCCTCATGGATTCAATTAATTAGTTAATTAAGTGTTTTAATTAAAAGACAATTAATAAGTCCATGGATAGGTTTAAGTCTAATTAAATTAAGAGTCTAATTTATTAAAGATTAAACCTTAGTATTTTAAATGTATAAAATACATCTTTATACTATATAAAATTAAAAATCTAATATATTATATGTATAAGATAAAAGTCAGTCTTACCGTTACTAGGTCTCATTCATGAAGCTCGTCTATAAGGGTCCAGAGAGCCTTCCCCATTCTGCTTTTTGTCCAGAGAGTCTTACCGTTGATAAGTGGAGTTTATGGTCCTTTGCTATGCTAGACCTCAAATCTGGACCCATGGAGGTCCAGAGAGCCTTCCCCATTCTGCTTTTTGTGGTTCCATGGAGAAAATGGACACAGGTTGCCATGTTAGAAGAGATTTCACCAAAATAAGCCTTAGGGGCATTGCATGTGTAGCAAGATTTAACCTTTACGTGATTATTGGTCATGGGGAAGTCTGGTCTATAGATTAGAGAAACAGATCTGACCTCAAGAGGTCAGAGGAGTGTTGTCATGGGAGGAACTCACCGAGCCCATAAGGGACTCGACGAGCCGAGTCGTGTTGCCCCACGATTCATGATCTGTGATAACTCGTGCGGTGTAGGGTTGACTCAGCGAGTCGAGTGAAGGACTAGGGGCGAAGAGGACACGTGTGTACTCGCCGAGTCACATGAGTGCACTCGACGAGTCGGGTCAAAGTTTGACCGATTAACTTTTGTTGACTTTTAGGGTTTAGTCAGTGTTTTGACTTATGAGCCATTATAGGGGTAGAATGGTCTTTTACCCTTCTTAGAGAACTTATAGAGAGGTGTTAGCCTAGTCTTTAGAAGTTGTATTAATTAGAGTAATTATTTATGTGATTAGGTGGAGGCTAGTGCAGTATTTCGGAGTTCGAGGTTTATCGAGTTACCCGAGGTAACTCTTCTCACTATACTTTATCTTGAGTGGTAATTAGAGTTACGTGATAGAGTATCTTGTAGGACATTCATGTGATGTGTTGCACACCATTATTTCTCTATGATTTATGTTGTGTGTATATCAGAGTTTACAGAGTTAGGATTAGAAGGTCCACAGAGTTAGGACCAGAGGGTCCACAGAGTTAGAGCCAGAGGGCTCACAGAGTTATAGCCTCGGGTGGCTATTATGGGTTAAATGTGGTATTTTAGGGAACTCACTAAGCATTTATGCTTACAGTGTTTTGTGTTATGTGTCACGTACCAGTGAGGATCGCGAGAAGGCGCCAGCATGATCAGTACACACTATTGGAGTTTTTATACATTGATCTTGGGATGTGTTTTTATGGATTTAATATGTGTTACAATGAGATATGAGAATGTTTATGAATGAAACTATAAATTTTAAAAGTGAAAAATTGTTTCGAAATTTACGTTGTTACAACTTTTTTTTTTGTTCTGGATCCTTGTTTCCTTACACATATATGATTGCTTCCTCTGCTTTTATTCCTGTAAACTAGACCAATAGACTTCTTGCTAGGATTGACTATTACATACCTTTCACATATTTCCTAAACAACATGGGGATATAAATTGGCAGCATTGTAAAAAGGTTAAGCAGATAAAGCTAGGCGTTTGAGTGACCTTTTACCAATTAATCATCTAAGTTGTCATGTGAAAATAAAATTGACTATGATTTTTTGTAGGGCTGACAAAAATATACCATGGAAAACCAACCAACATGTTACCAACCGAACCAATAAACTTGGTAGCCAACATGTTTGGTTGGTAGTACCGTACCAATTGATCAATGTTGGTACGGTAATGGTACACAAATTGGAATACCATGGTAATACCGTACCAACCAATTATATATATATATATATATATATATATATATATATATATATATATATATATATATATATATATATATACTAGCCGTAGACCCGCGCAAAGCGGCGGCGAAAAATAGTTTCTCATTCGGCAATAAATTCTATACGGAAACATGTTAGATTTCAAGTAACACAAAATATATGCATATTGTTATCGATCGGTTTTACGGCAACGAATAAATGTAACCCTCGCAATACAAAAGAAACTAAATATTTTGGTGTGTAGTATACGTTTATAGTCATTCATTTTAGAAATCAGGATACATCCATATGAAGTGACTTCCTTATACCTTTATTAGTATTGATAAAGTTAATAAAAGGGAGAATCAAAGTTAATCTTAACAACCCGGTTTGCTTGATACAGATAAGTCTAAACGGATATATCCTATTATCCACTTTAATATATAAAGTTTTAAACCGAAAAATAATAAAATTAATACAACCATATTTTATGGAACATGAATAACAAATGGAATACTAATTTTCTATTAGTCATAAATCATACATAGATATTTTTTCTTAATATTAAACAAAGTATTTGATTTTACAACTGATTGGTCAATTTCGATTAGATGGCATAAACAATAAATAAAGCTTAAAAAAATTAAAATAAAATGGCCTATATAATGGATTATTTGGTTTATTTTAATTGGATAAGAGATTGGATCAAAATTTTGGAAGAAATAAGATTTCAAAGATAATCAGATTAAAATTTAATATTATTTTATTCATGATTAGTTGTACTTTACGTTTAGAGAGTTGAACGTCTTAAAAAAATAATATTATTTTATTGGATCTATTTATAAAAATAATAGGATTTCTTTTATAAGTTAGTGTATATATATATATATATATATATATATATATATATATATATATATATATATATATATTAATTGTTAATTGTATAGTGTTTACAGTTTTAATAACGTTATATTAGTCATTTGGTCGTATTAGTCAATAGTTATTACCACGATAAAGCACAATATTAAAACGTTACTTCAGTAGAATTCTTTTGTAAACTAAAAGAACTACGTAACTAATTTCTATATTACACATCAAAATCCCAATGTCTTTGCTTATTTTTAAATCTTATAAAAAAAATTAAAAGAAGTTGGTATATACCATTACCAATTTGTACCAACCAAACTTATTAGTAGCCAAATAAATTGATACCAAGTATACTTGGTACGGTATCGGTAGCAATTTTTTTATACCAATTATAGTTGGTATGGTACACAATTTAGAGAAAAATAAATTGGTACCGTACCAATTCCACCCCTAATTTGTTGCTAGAAGATAAACCCTACTCTATTTATACTAATTAACATGCTATGAAGAAGGAGAACTATCAGCTAAGAAACCTCAAAGGATAGGACTACTAAATCCAGTTATTAAATCCCACCAAACCAGGTCTTCATTAGACTAAGTCATTATTACTTAAACTTGTGCATAAAGAACCTGGACTTACCCATTCAAACCCATACCCGTGATCCAGCTTAACCCATCGAGATTACCCAACAGAGATTGATCGACTTTTCTTAACTTCGTTCATCTTAGTAGACTTGGAATGGAATCTTTTCATTTTTTTTTACGAGTAACTTATCAACGGTGTTAGGGTTTAAGCACTTCAACAAAAGATTCAAACGATTGCTTATACACAGTAGTAAATGCGAACGAAAAATATAACATAATATTTAACGTGGTTCACACGATTAGATCAGTGACCGGATACGTGAGAGAGAGAGAGAGAGAGAGAGAGAGAGAGAAGGTCAACCCTAGAAAAATAGTTACATGAAAATTACATACCATGAAAAATTAAATTCTCATTTGCTTACATAATCCAAAAAAAAAAAAATTATCTGACCTGTTCATTTCTAAGAGCTTCTTCTTAATTTATTTGAATTTGTAGCAATAAATACAAGCTTAAGGTCCTCGGAGTCTCTCTTTGATTCTAATAAAGGTGAAAGTCAAAAAATTTACCGATTTGATTTTCTCACCATCAGCATTGCAACTGAGCACTTCTCTGAGGCTAATAAAATTTGGCAAGATCATTCAGATTCCATGTATAAGGTATTTCCAATCAGATATATAGTGGCATATCATTCCAGTTTTCCAAACGCTAATAAATACATTAACTTGGTTATTCTTTTCAGGGAAGACTACAGAATGGGCAAGGAATAGCAGTTATAGCTCCCAATTTTCTCACCAAGAATATATAAAAATGTGTTATTAATGGGAAGGCTTGAAAATTTTAATTTAGTTCATCTGCTTGGATATTGCTTGGAACGAACAACAATCTTCCTAGTCTATGAGTTTGCTGTTTTCACACATATGGATCATTTTATATTTGGTAAGAATTTGCATCTGAAATTAATGTACAATATCATGCTTGGTTCAATACGGAGCAATCATAGATGTTAAACCTCATTTTTTTAATATTATATAACGGGAGCGAGGTTTAAATGAATTAAATGTGACATGTTATTTACTTGGAACATTTTGTTATTTGTTATTGTTTTTTAGATCCTCTTATGGAGGCTTATTTGAACTGGAATAAGCGCTATGAAGTAATTCTAGGTGTTGCTAATGCACTTAATTACCTTCACAATCACGCTCCCATTCGGGTCATACATGCTGATGTCAGACCTCAGAACCTTCTTTTCAATGAAAAATCAATGTCTGTTTGACCACAAAGAAGGTATAAGAATCCTTCCACACCGTCAAGATGAGTCCTCAACTTTAGAATGGCTACAACCCTTTTGATGATATATTTAGAAGTAGTAACCAGAATCAGGTCCTTATCCACATCTGTAATTATGTTTACCGGTCATGTGGTTGAGTCCTCCTCAACCTTAGAATGGCCAGAACCATGTCGCCGGCTTACCTTTCCAGAGATTCAGCAAGCAACCCAAAACTTCGATGAGTCATTGGTGATCGGCCATGGTGGGTTTGGAAAAGTTTACAGAGGAACCATCATTAGTGAGGCAAGGCTTTTAGTTGTTGCCATCAAGAGGTTAGATTCAACTTCTAACCAAGGAGACGTAGAGTTTTGGGCAGAAGTTGAGATGCTTTCTAAGTTAAGGCACTGTCACTTGGTGTCTTTGATTGGTTATTGCACTGATGGGACTGAAAGAATCCTTGTTTATGATTATATGCCCCATGGAACCCTTGAAGATCATCTCCACAAATTTCAAACTCCTCTACCTTGGATGCTACGACTCAATATATGCATAGGGGCAGCTCGTGGATCCTTGTTTCCTTACACATATATGATTGCTTCCTCTGCTTTTATTCCTGTAAACTAGACCAATAGACTTCTTGCTAGGATTGACTGTTACATACCTTTCACATATTTCCTAAACAACATGGGGATATAAATTGGCAGAATTGTAAAAAGGTTAAGCAGATAAAGCTAGCTAGGCGTTTGAGTGACCTTTTAGCAATTAATCATCTAAGTTGTCATGTGAGAATAAAATTGACTAAGATTTGTTGCTAGAAGATAAACCCTACTCTATTTATACTAATTAACATGCTATGAAGAAGGAGAACTATCAGCTAAGAAACCTCAAAGGATATGACTACTAAATCCAGTTATTAAATCCCACCAAACCAGGTCTTCATTAGACTAAGTCATTATTACTTAAACTTGTGCATAAAGAACCTGGACTTACCCATTCAAACCCATACCCGTGATCCAGCTTAACCCATCGAGATTACCCAACAGAGATTGATCGACTTTTCTTAACTTCGTTCATCTCAGTAGACTTGGAATGGAATCTTTTCATTTTTTTATGAGTAACTTATCAACGGTGTTAGGGTTTAAGCACTTCAACAAAAGATGCAAACGATTGCTTATACACAGTAGTAAATGCGAACGAAAAATATAACATAATATTTAACGTGGTTCACACGATTAGATCAGTGACCGGATACGTGAGAGAGAGAGAGACTAGGTTATACATTGAAGTAAAAAACTGTCAAGGTCAACCCTAGAAAAATAGTTACATGAAAATTACATACCATGAAAAATTAAATTCTCATTTCCTTACATAATCCAAAAAAAAAAAATTTCTGACCTGTTCATTTCTAAGAGCTTCTTCTTGATTTATTTGAATTTGTAGCAATAAATACAAGCTTAAAATCCTCGGAGTCTCTCTTGGATTCTAATAAAGGTGAAATTAAAAAAATTTACCGATTTGATTTTCTCACCATCAGCATTGCAACTGAGCACTTCTCTGAGGCTAATAAAATTTGGCAAGATCATTCAGATTCCATGTATAAGGTGTTTCCAATCAGATATATAGTGGCATATCATTCAGTTTTCCAAACGCTAATAAATACATTAACTTGGTTATTCTTTTCAGGGAAGACTACAGAATGGGCAAGGAATAGCAGTTATAGCTCCCAATTTTCTCACCAAAAATATATAAATAATGTGTTATTAATGGGAAGGCTTGAAAATTATAATTTACTTCATCTGCTTGGATATTGCTTGGAACGAACAACAATCTTCCTAGTCTACGAGTTTGCTGTTTTCACACATATGGATCATTTTATATTTGGTAAGAATTTGCATCTGAAATTAATGTACAATATCATGCTTGGTTCAATACAGAGCAATCATAGATGTTAAACCTCATTTTTTTAATATTATATAACGGGAGCGAGGTTTAAATGAATTAAATGTGACATGTTATTTACTTGGAACATTTTGTTATTTGTTATTGTTTTTTAGATCCTCTTATGGAGGCTTATTTGAACTGGAATAAGCGCTATGAAGTAATTCTAGGTGTTGCTAATGCACTTAATTACCTTCACAATCACGCTCCCATTCGGGTCATACATGCTGATGTCAGACCTCAGAACCTTCTTTTCAATGAAAGTTTGGACCACAGACTATCGTATCTGGGGTCCGCAAGACATTTAGCAATCAACGAGACTGATTATGTTATTGTGGATAGAGTTAATGTCACCACGTAAGTACATATACACTCATTGAGAAATCACATTTTGAAGTAATATATCAATGCAACTTTGTTGAACCCTCCAGATGTTTTCTGTCTAGAAATATATTGGATTTAACAAATGCCTATGGCTATCACAACTTTGAGCCACCATAGATCTTGATTTTTCAAAAATATATGCTTTAGATCTCTTTTCCATCTATGTTTTTCCCTTGGTCTTTGTAAAGTGTTAGCTAATGGCACACATGTAGATACAGTTCTTTTAACAAGGGTTGAAACCAGTCGATCAACAAACACTTTTTTTTATCTATTTCTTCTTTAGATTTGTAACTGAAAACTTTTTGGATACAATCACAGAATCTTTAATGTTAAATATTAATCCAGTTGTTTGGAGTAAATTGATCTTGGAAGTTGCTTGTTTTATCTGTTATGCTTTCAATTATGGAATGTTGATAACGTATATAGATAGTTTGTGTCCATCACAGGGGATACATGGCACCGGAGTATATGATAGAAGGTTGTCTCTCAACTAAGGCTGATGTCTTTGGGTTTGGTCTCTTTATTTTAGAAAATGTTAGTGGTCAAAGAAACTACCTGCGCTTTTCCGAGACCAATGAAAACTTTGTGCAATATGTAAGTATATGATGATATATAAGATTTGTAGCATGGTTAATTAATTTTGTTTGTGTTACATGAAAAATCCTTTTAACGTGACTACTAGTTATTTTCTGATAAGAAGTTTACTAAAAGTAAGAAAATGAACAGTAACAATCTATTTATTATTAACTTGAGATGAGGAATGGAGGAAACCAAATGAGAATTTTTTATCAAAACGTCACTTTCTTTACTTTTTGGTGTACGTAAGTATATATATACATGATGAATTATTGTAGGCATGGGCAAATTGGTTGGAAGGGACCTGTTTGAATATAACGGATCCTACAATTGATGCCGACTCAAGTTTGATATCTAGACTCATCAACATTGGGTTGCTGTGTGTTCAAGCAAATGCAGCTGATAGACCCACAATGGATGAAGTTGTTGGCATGTTTGCCGCTCCTTCTAACACTCTCCATCTTCCAAAAAATCGAGTGTCCTCATGGATGATGGAAGAGGATTCGGATTATGCAAATGGTGTGTCTGATGACTACGATGTGGGAGCAGCTGAGGAGTTTGTATCACAGCTAAGCCCACGATAGTTTAATGCGAGTATCTATATAATAAGTGTGAGTTCAAAATAGAACCAATTTATATAAAAAAAATCACATAACACACATGTTAAGTTTATACATGAACACGTATGTTCAAGTTGTAGCTATATATGTTCATAAATTAAGATGTGTGTTATGTGGTTTTCTCAAATAACTTGGTTCTGTTTTTAATCTCACTTGTCCATCTCTTTGTTAAGACTAATGCCCGAAATCTCATCAGCCTTTATATCAATATATGGTTTGATACTCATTTGAGTGTCATTCATTGGTAAATCACATAATAAATAATGGTGTTAACGAGTGAAGCTGAATCCGGGCATTTAGGCTCGACTTGAATAATTAATATAAGGTTGCGCTCAAACAATTTTTCATAACTAGCATGAAAGAGAATATTTCATCATCATCCATGCTCGCACTACGAGAAAACAAGCAAAAAGGGTGATGCCTTTAGTCGCTACACTAAGCTTATCTGACAATGTGTCATTACTAATGGGGTCGACCCTATTGCCTGTAAACATCGATCAATGTGTTTTGGCTTGATTCAATCCTAGCCAGTGGTGTTATACAACGATCTGCGATTCAACAACTGTCACACCCCCAAAGCGGAACGACGGAAATGTTAGGGGGTGGTTGACGTCATGCGTAATATCACAATAGTTGTATTATCGCAAGCTTAGTTAACACAACCAAACATTGAATACATATATGGTTTACATTGTATTAATACAAAGTTTTGTTCTTATCAAAAGTAAAATGGAAAGACGTGGAAAATGTTTTGAAAGAATATCAACATAAAGTTGGTGAGTTCATAAGCATTTAGTTTCGGTGGAAAATGTTTCTTCAATCCTTTTGAAAAGTGTTCCTCAAGAAAATCCTATATTTTCTTATGAAAAGCGTGTTTGAAAACCCATTCCTTCCATGACTTCCCAATTCATACGATGTATGTACAATCCGAGGAGTCGTGGAGTGAATATGAATATTTGTTAGTTACATGTAAAAACAAATACGTTTATGAAAAGCCAAGTTATCCCGCACTACTAGAAAAACAGCCTTTTACGACGCTCATTGCGCATCGTAAAAGGCGCAGACGACGCGCAAATGCGCGTCAAGGAAGGCCCTGTCATAAAGAGAGACGACGCGCATTTACGATGCTCATTTACGACGCGCAATTACGACACGCGTTTACGATACGCAATGCGTATCAAGGAAGGCCCTGTCATAAAGGAAGACGACACGCATTCGCGTGTCGTAACCTTACGACGCGCGTGTTAATGATACGCAATGCGTATCAAGAAAGCCCCTGTCAAGAAAGGCCATGTCATAAATGAAGATGACACACATTTTTCCGTATCATAATTTTAAATGTTTAAAAAAATATTATTTATAGATTTACTTATTTTCAAATTAAATTTGTATTTAATGTTTCATAATAGAAAATAAAATATCATATACAAAAAATAGAATCCATTGCATAAATTTAATGTCATACAATTATATTTCTTACAATATATAGATTTGCATCTAATCTACTATGTATATCAACTAAGTAAAGTTGCATCTTGCCTTTCATAATACTTTGAGACTAATGCTCCAAACAACTGATTATATGGATAAGTAGTTGTACATTGGCCCATCTCACTCAATAATGACTTAGCCAAATTCAACTCAAAGTCTTTACTGCATGTTGTTGATAATGCTGCAAGATTTAAATCAAGTGGCTTTATACTCCTTTCTTCCATCAACTTTACCTGATGCACAAAATAAACAGAAACAAAAAAAAACATTGTAGAGGAAGGGGTAATTTGGGAAAATGTGAGGGGTATAATATAATAAGAATGCAAATACTTAATACCACTTTCATGCCATCATGGAAACGTGTTGTCACTACTAGAAAGTAGAAAGTAACTAAATCAGTTTTTTTTATCGGTTATGATTGTATCTATTTTCTGTGATTTTGGATTTGTAGCTTATTAAATGATTATATCTATTTTCAGTTTTTTTTATCGGTTATGATTGTATCTATTTTCAGTTTTTTTATCGGTTATGATTATATATGTTCAGGAATTAGGAGACATTTTCAAATTTAATAATAATCTTTTTATTTGTAATTTTTATTGCATCCATTGAATCTTTTTGGATGTAATTTAAATGTATATATGTAATCATTTTTTGTTGTAATTTAATTTTGATCCATGTAATGTGATTTTTTCAGTGACACTCAAGGTTGAATGTTTTAGTTATCATGATTATTATTATTATATCTTTTTATATATCTCAAATTTATAAAAAAATATGGATTTTTTACCAAACGGATATCCATCGGGTTCCCCGTATCTAACGGGTTTTCTTTTACCCGGATCAATATGGAAACAAAAGTTGTATTTTATAAAATTACCCAAAATGACGAAAAACCAAAATATTTTGTTAAGTTATGATGTACCTCAATGTAGATGAAGTGTTCAGCTTTTTCAATAAGAGAAATGTAAGCTTTGTGAACGCTCTCTTCAACTTGACTTGTCCCAGCTGACCATTGACTCACACTCCTTAAAACCTACAATTGAAAAATGTAAAAACCAAAAAATCTAATCTAATAATATATTAATCATAAATAAAAAAAAATACCTAACAACGACATGCAACACAAGGACCAACTTGACCTGTTTCATCAGCAGAAACAACCAGGTTACCTAGCATATCTGGAGTTGAAGTTTAAGATGATTAGTTTACTTGGAGTTAGTTACAATTTACCTGTTGTTGATTAGTTTCTTGTATCTACGCCTTTGTCTACCAGCTCCAACAGCCCTTATACATGTAAAGGACTTGAAAGAGTAAAACTTAAAGACTACATAGCCACTTACAGTGAAAGACAAAAGCCACCAGGCCAGCATCTCAGTGTACCAATCTATCATGACCACGACATAAACAAAATTCATTTTAATAAAACTGATTTCATTAAAATAACAAGCTAAACAACAAATCATTAATTTCAATTGATAAAACTTAATTCAAGGATAAAATAGATTTACCTGATATCAAAGGTCAAGTGTTCTAAATTTGCTTTGTACTCTTCAAGTAGGTTTTCCAAAAAAAGAAATCATTAATTTCAATGCACTTGTCAGTTTCTTTTATGTTAATGCTACCCGATGAGAGTGGTAGAATCATAACTAATGAATTCAAAGATAGTGAGACTAGAATATTATGATATGAGTTAATGAGAGTGCAAGTTACCATTTTTTTATTCCTTCAATAAGATCCTCACCAGCCACCAAATCAGATTCTGCAGCTCTAGCCTTCTGCAACTGCTCCATCAGCAAACACAGCTACACGCAAGGCCTGCAAATAAAAATAGCTTACAAAGGAGAACCCAAATAAAACTCCAAGTCTCTTTAAATTATCACTTGGTGAGATCACAATCCCTATGAGCATCAACTGCACATTAGGACAAAAGAGAACCCAAATAAACCTCAAAGACTAACTCATTTGAATGCACATAAGGAAATCTTGAATCACCAGAGGAAAAGGCAGATCTAATGAGATCACCAGACCAACAGTAGGAACGTATATGAGCATCAACTGCAACATCTTTCAGTTTTCCACCCCTAACCATAGATAACATAGGATATGAGTAAACAAATATAATGGTCTTGGTATTTGTATATGATTACATTACTTTATGGGATATTGTCAAGAAAACTGGTTCAGATTTGAACTCTCACCCCAAAATTTTCATTTAGGCTTCTAGTTTTATCCGCTGTTCTTACCTTTAAACACCTGTAAAAAGAGTAGAACTAGAAAAAACCCTATGGTACATACAGATGCAGTTACTCTATGCAACCAAACCAACCAATACTCTCTACATACATACATACAATACAGATACATATAGATAGATATAAAAACCACAAGAAATAATAATAATAAAATAAAATAAAATAAAAAAACAAAACTTGGGGAAAGGAGGGGTTCAATCTTGAATGCATTGGATCTCTCCCATCATAACCTTAAACCCAAGCAGAGCTGGGTCGATTTGCCTCCCCTTTTTGCCTTTCTTTTTCCCACCACCACCACCAGTTTTGCTATTGTGTCCCTCTGCTGCACCCTCTGGATCTGGTGAGGGTGGCTTCCTAATAAGATGATTATTATTAATGCCACAGATGCATCACTCAATGATTACGTCCTCCTAAACCCACCACCACCTACCATAATCATCATGTTCTCCCTAGTTTCTCTTTCTCTGAAAGTTGATTCCACCTCACATAACCCCCCTTCATGAGATGATGATGATGATGATGATGAAGGACGTCTCACTAATGTATTTATATTATCACTACTACTACTACACCTTTTTAATCCCCTGCTGCATACAAACCCTCAACATAAGAAACCAAAACATATCAATTATCTGTTCCAGGATTAATAACTGAAATTACCTGTCTTGACCCTCTCCAGCTGCTGCTGCAAAAGACTCAACCCTGTCATTGTACAAGCTTTTATTCCCACATGCTAATATCATATCAAAAAACAAATATATTTATTTACTACACTATGCATAAAAAATAAATACCATCATAAACAGGATATAAATTTACTAAAATTATTTGGCATTTCCCCATGGTCTATAGCAGCAACACCACCTTGTTGATTTTCTGCGGCTACACGTATCATCATGTTGAAAAGCAAACCACCTGCATGAAAATTACACTTGACTCTCTTTCAGGCGTCCCATTGTTGAAAGCAAACCACATGCATGAAAATCAAGAAATGAGACTTTCTTTCCCTAACTTTTTACGAATTTGCCCTTACCTGACAAATTGTGCGGAAACTAAGTTCTTGATCAGCAGATGAAACAACTTCCAACTTAGAAGACATAAATACCCTTGTTTACAAATAACCTGAAATAAAATCCTCTGATAACCTTGATCCAGCATTCCCAATCTGCTCACCTAATGCAAGAAGCTCCTGCATATACACAAAAGGTCAATTTCGTA